TGATTGTCTAGATGTGTTATGCGGTTTTACTTGTCTAATCATGTCACTTATACTTAATTGTTGTTTTTCATTTGAACTTAGTGATTCATCCGGTCCAAAGATCTTATGAACTGAGTGCAAGTGCATTTTCATATTTCCAGTTGATCCATCATGTTTATAGCTCGTATCACACTCAGTTTCTGCTCCTTTTCGAAATACAACTATCTTACAAACATCATTCTCGCCCACCTCTTCAAAATATTTCCAGACATAGCTTTTTTTATTAGAACTAGGTGGTTTAGAAAAATTTACTCGAATCTTCTTTGCACTTGATTCTTCAGCTGGTTTATCGACGGCTTTTCTTCTGGTTACGCTAGTAGAAGATTCAACGACCTCTTGAATATCGTTATCAGAGATTTGATCAACTTCAGAGATGTATTCACTATTACTATCCATACTTTTTTAAAAAATAGGAATTTTAATGATGTTTGATTTATTACAGAATACAAATAAAAACGTATGAAAAATGAAACAAGATAATGTTAATCTTTATTAAAGGTCAGAATGAGCTCTTTATATACATAATTTTATTTATTGAACAAACATTTAATCTAATTTAAATCAGGATTAAGAACGATATAATACGTGAATCGTACGATGTTTCTTCAATAAGGACTAAATATTGAAATGTTAAGTTCTCTTTTAACCTGAGCTAATCATATGATTTTTAGATTATATTTTAATAATATCTGCATGAATTATACGATGTTTCAATGAGGATTTAATATCGCTACAGCAAGTTCTTTATAATTTCCCTTCTTTATATTTCCCATTTTCCTTATTATTCGGATCTATTTCAGAACATTTGCATAAATCATATGATGATGTTTCAATAAGGATTTAATATCGCTTCGGCGGGATCTTTATAGCTTTCCTTCTTTATATTTTCCATTTAATCGTATGATTTTTAGATAATTAGGACTAAGAACGATATTATACGTGAATCGTATGACGTTTCTTCAATAAGGACTAAATATCGAAATGATAAGTTCTCCTTTAACCTGAGCTAATCGTATGATTTTTAGATTATATTTTAATAATATGCATGAATTATACGATGTTTCAATAAGGATTTAATATCGCTACGGCAAGTTCTTTATAGTTTCCCTTCTTTATATTTTCCATTCTTCTTATTATTCGTATCTATTTCAGCACATCTGCATGAAACATACGATGATGTTTCAATGAGGATTTAATATCGTTACGGTAAGTTCTTTATAGCTTTCCTTCTTTATATTTTCCATTTTCCTTATTATTCAGATCTATTTCAGTTAATTTATCTTTGCATCGCCCCTTTTTACTATTGTCACTCATCCTTATGCATAAACTTACTATTATATCTCCACATTCTTCCTTACTTGGTATATTTACCTTACATGCCACACTTATTATTTTGTATGTACATATGTACGTACGTATATATCTTTTCCTTATACCATTTATGCATGGGGTTTGTTATGCAGTATAAACGGTTAGACTACCACGTGGACATATATCTTTCCGGATGGCATTCAAATAATTAA